CAGGACCCTCACCTTCGGTACCTGCTTGCATTCACGTGTAGACATGAAGGAGTGTGAGGATTCAGGCTTATGCTTTGCCTGACATGTCTCTAGTAACTTGTCCTGAGTCGACTCTTGGATCCTGTGGGGCAGGTCCCACTGGTGTTGAATGAGCCACTTTTGAATGTGTTGTTCCAACTGTTCCCGGAGTGCAGGGCTGATTGGAAAATTCTCGGGAAGGATAGAGACAACCCAACTGTCCTGGGAAAGGTTGGGAGTGAAGGGACTAAACACTTTTTGAGAACTTTGGGTCACAGAGGGTAAATCCCACTCACTTTCTAGTTGTTTCCTCAACAAGGGCAATTCTGGGTGTTGAATTTCAGTTGGAATGAGAGATTGTGGCTTACAGTCCCTAATCTTGGGTGGAGAAGAAGGTAGTAGGTTTAAGAGAGAAGAATGGAGATGGGTCTGAGTCTGAACTTGAACTTTCTCCATTCCCATGGTGTCCAGAGGTGAAGGCTGGAATTGGTGTATGGATGGATTCAAAGGTTGGGATTGGAGCCCCAGAAGGGACAGGGACTGTGCCTGGGAAAACAATGGAGATGTGTTAGCCTTCATTGGAACTGGGCAGACATTTGAGATTCCATTAAATAAAGATGCGGGAGATTTCAATCTGGAAGAACCATCAGAGATCCAAGCAGTAGCCACCAGGGATTCACTATGCAGAGAAGGGAGACCCCAGAAAAGCTGCTTATATTTGTGTTGAAAATGATCCCCCAAGAACATGGGATATGAAAGCTGCTGGTGACTGAGCAGCTGTTCTGGTTTATCTTTCATGCTCCAAAAAGTTTGGGAGGTTGTGGTGTCCTGCTCAATACCCACTGATTTTAACACATTCCCCAAAGAATTCAAGTGGTATTCTGGGCTCATTTGTTCTGGAGATGGTCCACATTTTTCTTCTTCTTTCCAATTCTTGATCTGCACTCTCTTTGTGATTTGTATCTCTAGGAGTTTCTGGTCATCAGAGCTGAGCATAGTGAGGCTACTAGCTTCCATCTGCCTGTCTGTGGGGTCTCCCCAGAACGAGACCTCTGATGGGTGGCAAGAAGGATGCCCTTGCTGAGACCTGTGGACTGATGAGGTGGAGTGACACAAGGTTTTAGCAGCCACCTGCCACCAAGAGAGGCCAGAAATAGGACAACTTGAGTGGCCACGGCTTGAGAGGGCTGCAATGTGAGAAGCTGACAGTGGAAGGGCCATTGAGTCATGTTGAGTAGTCAGAGTGGAGTATGATAGTGGTGGAGAAGAGAAGGCTGTGGGAGGCTGACGGAAAGCCACTGAATTAGGAGGGCTGAGTGAGGGAAGGGAGGGTGCATGTGGCCGGCATGGGAGGCTTTTTAGGGGAAGGAAAGGCTGTGGGGGCTGAGAGGCAGTCAGGGATGAATGGGGACCAACAGAAGCTGGGAAGGTTGTCAGGCCTGAGGAAGAGGCAGGGGCCAGAGGTGGAGGGCCCTCAGTCGCTGGAGTTGGAGAAACTGGAGCAGCACCTTCCACTTGCTGATCTTGCGGCTGAGGCACTGCAGCAGGTGCTCTTCTGTACACTTCAGCAGGGGGGTCTTGATAGAAGAGCTGATGAGAGCTTCCCTCATCAGGGAGCTTCCCCAGGTGGCTGCAAGGGACAGGAGATGTAACCTGCAGCCGAGCCAATGGGGCCATGAGGGCAGCAGTGGGCATGTGTAGGACATGTCCTTCCACTGCCCATACATTGACTTCACAATTCTCTTGCTATCCCTCACCCTAGGGTTTTGATCACATTCTCCGTCCCCACGGTGTCCCCCTCCCAGGCCAGTTCTAGGCTGCTTTGTGGTCTAGGGCTCACATGATAGGCTCTGGTAGGGCAGGGCAGGGCAGAGGGCAATGTGTTTTACCTTTCCAAAAGTGTAATCAGGCTGCGAGCCCCGTCCAGTTCTTTGAAGCAATCTTGATATGCTGGAAATCAGGAGACTGGGTTATGATGGAGGAGGAGGATCCTGAGGGTTTTACAGAAGGCTGAGTGGAATGTCCCTTTTCAGAGACACCATAAGGAGATTAAAGTCTGGATCCCAAGCATTGATGTCCAGGGCCACGTAACACTGACAGTGACAGTAGGGAGCACAGATGGGCAACACTTCATGAAGTGCTTCCACATCCATCTCTCCCACGGTCTTCACTGTCCTGGGAAGGGGAAGGATGGGACCATCTCAGAGGGTGTCTGCCTTAGTGAAGTTACACAGCTTGTCCACAATTGGACCTAGAGGTCTTCCCCTTAAATCCAGTCAGTATTGGCCTACTGCCTCTCAACACCTCCCACTGCTCCCTACTGGGTAGCTCTATTGCTTGGCCTGTCCTTGCTTTATTCTCAGCACAGAATCTGAGAAGTCATGTGGGCTCCGATTTCCTTCCCAGGAGCCTCTCTCTGTAGCTGATATCCTCAGCTACGTCCTCTGAGGGGAAGGCAAGGTCAAGGTCGTTCTGGGAAGAGCAGAGCCTTACCTTTCAGGGCACCACTCTTCTTCCTACTCCTTCTCCTCACCCTCATCTCCATTTGGCACTGAAAGACAAGAAAAAATGGGAGGCTGGGACCCAATTCTTCTTCTCCTCTCTCTAAACAACAAGCATTCAGTGTTCATGAATACTGAGATGATCTACATTGAATTAATAAAGATCTGGGTTTTTCTTTCCTTTTCGTCATTTTTTAAGTGGATACAAGTACTTTGTTTTTCTTCTTTGAAAAATACATTGAGACATTTTTCTATGTGAGATTCACTGTGGATATCTTCAGTCACCATTTCTCTGGTCAGGAAACACACACAGGTACAGGTCTTCAGGTACAGCTGGGCTGGCAGGTCAGACTCTGTATCCTGAAGCCAGGACAACTCCAGCCTCTGACTGGCAGCTTTCAGGGGCTCAGCCAAGGCCTTAGCCCCACACAGAAGACAGGCTTGGCCTTAGGGACCTGCCACTGGAAGGCAACTGATGAACCAGTGCTCAGGGGCCTGACCTCTCAGAGATTCCCCAACTCTTCCGGTAATCCAGTCCTAGCCTGCTGAGTCATGGGGCTTGATTTCGCCCTGGCATCCTTTAGTGCCCACACAGATTGCCTGAGAGCTGCAGGTAGAAACTGACCCCTACCCTGCCTATCTGTCCCTGGAATGATCATATTCTATTCTTTCCTGAGATTTCCCATCTGAAGAGTCTAGGGACCAGCAGATGGCATAATGGTTATGTTGCTGGACTCTCACGTAGTCCACTGTGGTCTGAGTCTCAGACCTAGCGCTTAAAACTCACACTGAGCATGTGTGTGAACGTGCCCAACATCCCAAGAGGAGAATGAAGGAGAAGGGACTGTGGCATGGTCATCCCCGGGAGGCGGGTGAGTTCTTGCTGTCTGATTGTCTCTTTCTCTGTCTCTGTCCAGCAAGTACACATGCCCTATACCAAATATCTCTCTCTTAAAAAAAAAAAAGTGTCCTTTTTAGTTGTGGGACCAGCAGATGAGATGACATAAAGGTTATATCACTGGGCTACCATGTAGTCGACCACAGTTCGAGTCCCAGACCCTGTGGCTTAAAACTCATGCCAGGTGTGTGTGCATGCATGCCCAAGATCTGAAGAAGAGAATGGAGGAGAAGGGACTGCAGCATGGCCATCCCCCAGGGGATGATTTCTCATTTTCTGTCTCCCTGTCTCTCTGGCGGTATGCATGCCCTATAGCAAAAAACTCTCAAAAAAAATGAAAAAGCCTCCCTAGTTGTTTTGGAGAAGCAGAAATAATAACAGAAAAGAGAGACCGATTGTTGGGTCTGGATTGAGAGTTCCTTACCTTCCTGACGATCCTACTTTTCTGAGGTGGCGCTAAGGAAGGATTGCTCTTAAAGCAGGGAAGTAACAGCAGGAAGAGTCCCAGCCCACACAGGAAGGCGATGATGACATCTGCCACCCAGGAAGTGGGGCTGGGCTCAGCCATGTTGCACTAATGCTCTTCAGAGGAAAGATGACTCTCCATCCTCCGAATCGCACTGTTGCCTATACGCCAGGGAACCCTGGAGTGAGCTTCCGTATTAGAACCCCAGGCCCACATCACAGAACTGTGGCCTCCTTGTCACAGAGGACTCCAGGGTGGGGGAGGGAACAGAACAGGAGGAGGCTGAACTTCAGCCCCTCCCCCACCATCCAATCCAGCTGATCCCTCCATTCTCCCAGATTTTCTAGATCCCTCCTTCCAACCAGATCCTCTTCTCTCCTCAGAAACAGACTTAGGCAACTTTGTTTCGTTCCCCCTGGGATATTACCAGGTCCCTTTGGTACACTGGAGACCTTTCCTTCAGGTCCATCCAATTTATAACCCTTGAAAATCTGAAGTTGACCCTGGAATTGTGGCTATATCCCAGGGATTTTTACTTTCCAGATCTCTTATCCTCATTCTTTCCCATAGAATGTGTTTGTCTTATATCACCGCAGAGACAGAATTTAGATTTCTTTTACATTAATTTAATTTTATGAATTTTGAACAGTAGGTTTTAACCAGAGGGACCTACAAGCATAAAATAGTTATTCAAAATTTATAAATCTAAGTATGAAAGCATATATGTAGTTCACTACATATATGTAGTTAATTCTTCAGATGATATTTTTGTAATCATATGGTATTTATAATTCTGGACTTAATAAATCTTAAATTGCACAAAAATTTTTGGAACTGTTACGTGTGCACATACACACCCACACATATATCCTTCCACAAAATGATCCAGTATTTTAAAGTTCAGTGTACATCATTTGCTCCTTTAAGAAGACAATCTTTCTTTCTTTCTTTCTTTCTTTTTTTTTTTTTTTTAAATGGGGCACGTGTGGTCGCCAGAGAGACAGAAAACAGAAAGTGAGAAATCCACCTCCTCCCACAGAAGGAATGGCCATGCTACAATCCCTTCTCCTCCATTCTCCTCTCAGAATCTTGGGCACACACGCATACGTGCCTGGCATGAGTTTTAAGTCACTGGATCTGGGACTTGAACCACATCTGACTGTGTAAGAATCTAGTGATGTAACCATTACACCATCTGCTGGTCCCCAGAAATGACCATCTTTCATTCTTGTCCTGTCCTTATCTGGCTTTATTATTAGGGTAATGCTGGCCTAATAAAGTAGATTTATTTGGAAGTATTTCCTTCTCTTCAATTTTTAGAAGAGTTTGCAAAGAAATGGTATTAATTCTCCTTTAAATGTTTGGTAGAATTCTCCAGTAAAGCCATCTGGTCTTGGACTTTTCTTTCTTGGAAAATTTTTTTTTACTGATAAAATTTCCTTCCTCATTATTGATTTGTTCATAGTTTCTTTTTCTTTATGTATTTGTCTTGATAAGATATGTTTCTGGAAATTTCTCTATTTTCCTTAGTTTATCCAATTTGTTAACATATAATTATTTATACTTGGTTATTATGATTTTTTGTGTGTTTCCATGGTATCAGTGGTAATGTGTCCTCTTTCATTTCTGATTTTGAATCTTCTTGCTTAGCTAAAGGTTTGTCAATTTTGATTATCTTTTTAAAAAAAGCTATAAGCTTTGTTAATCCTCCTTATTGATTTTCTGTCTCTGATATGGTTTTTTTGTTGTTGTTGTTTGGTTTTTTTTAGAGGTTTTTGCTATAGGGCGCATGTGCTCGCCAGAAAGACAGAGAGATAAAAAGCAAGAGACCACCCCCCTGGGGGGAGATGGCCATGCCACAATTCCTTTTCCTCCATTCTCCTCTCAGGATCTTGGGCATGCATGCCCACGTGGTCCAGGATTCGAACTGCGGTCGACTACATGGGAGTCCAACAACATAGCCATTATGCCAACTGCTGGTCCCCATGTCTCTGATATATTTCTACTCTGATCTTTGTTATTTTCTTCCTTTCTTTTGGGTTTAACATATTTTCCCTATTTCTTTAAGCTACAGAGTGGTTGTTTATTTGAGATTTTTTTTTCATGTAGGCATTTATCTGTGTATATTTTTCTGAGAACTGCCTTTGCTTTATACGATAAACTTTGGTGTGTTGTGTTTTTGTTTTGATTTGTTTTAAGAAACTGTGTTTCTCTTTTAATTTCTTCTTTAACCCACTGGTTGTTCAGGAGTGTATTTAATTTCCATATATGTGTGAATTTTGCAATGTTTTTCCTGTTATTGATTCCTAGTTTTATGCTATTGTGATCAGAAAAAAAAAAACTTGATAAAATTTCAGATTTCTTAGATTTGTTACAACTTGGCTTGTGGCCTAATATATGATCTATCTTGGACAATATGTGTGTGCTTATGTGTGCTTGAAAAGAATGTGTATTTTGCCACCGTTGGATAAAATGTTCTATTTATGTTTGTTAGGTCCATTTGATCTATAGAGTAGTTCAAGTTTACTGTTTCCTTATTGATTTTCTGTCTGGATGATCTATCCATGGTTGAAAGTGGGCATTGAAGCTCCCTACTGTTATTGCGTTGCTGTCTATTTCCTCCTTCACATCTGTTAATATTTGCTTTATCAATTTAGGTGCTCCAATGTTGGGGACATATATATTTGCAATTGTTATATCCTCTTGATGAATAACCCTTGTATTGTTATACAATGACCTTCTTTGTCTCCTGTTACAACTAAAGTTTATTTTGTCTGATACAGGAATAGCTACTTGTGTTCTCTTTTGGTGCCATCCTTTCACTTTCAGCCTATGTGTCCTTAAAGGTAAAGCTAGTTTCTTGTAGTCAGCATATCATTGGAACTACGACAGTGTATTACTTGTTTATGTATTTATTACACTATACTTTATTTTACCTTTTTTTTTACTGTACTTCTTCTACATATTATATATATATCATGTATATATAT